CCCCGCTGCCCCACGCCAGCTCAGGAGGAAGAGCAGAGCAGGATGAAAACTGGGACGGCGACCAGGGAAGGGGAACGTGGCACTCGCGAGTCCCAAACCAAGCAGTCAACCTCATTCTTGGCGCTGCCTCGAGGAAGCGGTGACAAAAGGAGGCGAGCAGCGGCGCGGAAGAGCCCCGGTGCCTCGTCTTTCGCTTAGCTAAGGAGCAACACGTACTCCTTCAGGCAGGTGGGCAAGGGGAGCTGCTTCACTGCCTCCGGCAGGAACCGCACGCCCAGGCTGCGGCGCACGGCGTAACGCGACAGCGTCTGTAAGGTACCGGGGGCCGAGCAGAGCAGGGTGAGCTTTTCGCAGAGCTGCTGATCCCTGGTCACTTCCCAGGGCATGCTGCCATTTTTTCTCAGCTCAAAATGTCCGATAGCTCGATGGAGAAGATCGAAACAGGAATCCTCGCGTTCCGTACCCAAGCCCCGAACCAGCAACGCCACCAATCGCGAGATGGGAGTTTGGCCTTTCAAATTCACCACCCGGACCTCAGCCCCGAAGTCGAGCAGGATGCTGACGCTCTCCAGGTTACCCTTCATGGCTGCCCAGCTGAGCGGCGTGTCGTTGTTGTAATCGCGGGCGTTCACCCAGGCGCCGTTCTCCAGCAGCGACCGCACGCACTCGGCGTTGTTCTTGAAGGCGGCCCAGTGGAGCGGGGTGTCCTTGTTGCCATCCAGCGCATTGGGGTTAGCCCCATACTCCAAGAGGATTTCCACGCAGGTTTCATCCTTTTCTGCCGCGTAGTGAAGGGCTGTTCGGTTGTAGCCATCCAGGGCGTTGACCTGCAGGAGAAGGGGAGGAAGGAGGAAGGATTTGGGGGTCACTGAGGTACCCCAGCTCCTCCCAGCATCGGGGGAAACCCCACTGGTGCTGCGCCAAAACTGTTCCCGCTTCCCAAATTTAGCTGATGGGAAAACGAGGCAGGGAGCGGGATGTACGACCTGCCGGCGGCCAGAGGGAAGTGCCAAAAATCAGGCGATAAATAGGTTTCAATTCTTCTTTCAGTTTTCAACCGCAGAACTACCCTCCCTCCCTGACAAGCAGGCACCCCCGAGATGCCAGGCACAAACATTTCACTCCCTACTGGGACGATAAACCTTCATCTGGGCGCATTTTGGCACAAAACCAGCACCGCTTAAAACCGTCAGCTCAAATCTCAGCTGTTTATCAGCACCCGCCCGCCGCCTCCTGACTTCCCAGCCCCTTTTCAAAAGGATCTTTGCGTTTTTAACGCGGTTTTTGTTCTTTAAAAGCCTCTACCTCCGCTCCCTTCTGCAGCAGCAGCTCGACGCAGTCGGCGTCAGCCACCATACAGGCGCAGTGCAGCGGTTTCAGGGTGCCGTGCATGCAGTTCACGTCCGCTCCCTGCGAGATGACAGGAAACCACAGCCGGATTAGCAAACCCACCCGTTCTTGGCCCTTTTCCACCCCCGAGCCAGTGGCCGATGCGCCTCAATTTGCATCGTTAGAAAAGGTTTATTAATAGATCTCTGGCGTAACACCCCCACGCAAGCCCTGGGGTTATGTTTTCAGACCGGGCACCGCGGCTGTACAGAACTCCCCGCTGGGCAGAAGTGCTCGACAGTATGCATCCCTGCTGCCAGCGTTGATTTTAATTAATTCATCATTGCTAAACGATGCCTGGAGAAATCTGGGTGCCGCAGGAGTCTGGCAGAGGTTCGCCGTCTGCACGCCGGCTCTCTGCTCCGGCAGGATCGCGAGGAACGGCTGGCGTGAGGGGTTTGGGAGGGCAAGCGGGGTGCTCCGCAGCCGTTTTAAAGCCACTCGCACGACCGGAGCCGCCCCGGGCGC